GTTTGCGACATAGGTACGTCACGCTAAAAACCAGCTAACTTTCCTATCCTAATCATAACATCCGGGAGTAAAGATGAAGAATACCTAAGTCACCTCAAAAAAACTAAAGTCATTTACACTACACAACGATACAGCACTACTAAGGTACAATCACTACTTAAAATTACCAAGTCATATCCGCTTGGGTGAAGAGGCTGCCTTTCACTGACGAGTAAATCCTCCGAAAAACGAGAATTCGAATTATGAGTCAAGTCATTAAAATCCAAATAAGAGTTATTATATGGTGTTAAGTAAGGACCACAGCATACAGCTGGAGGCAAACCCAAAAGCACAGGATATACTTCCATCCCGTAACCATTCCCTTCGTAACCATTTGGAGCCCATGGATGAAAATAAGGATTCATCTCATAGAAAGAATGTTGGGTAGAAGCAGAAGACAAAGACGATGAGGCAGAAGAATTTGATGAGCTTGGTGTTTCAGCGTAATTCAACCCATCATCAAAGCCAACTTGTGTTAGACTGCCATTATTCAAAAAAGAACTTTGATTTCCCAAAATGTGCAAGCTTTTTTCAGAGTCTCTAATTTGGTCACTGGGAAAAGCTTTCGTTACCATATTCACCTCTAAATTACCGAATGAGGAAATACTACTCACTGATGGCTGCAAAACTCTATTTTCTACTTTACGGCAGAATGGTCTATTATTATCAATATTAGTAAAAGAGGTATTTCGCACCGGCCCTGACTGTAAGGAAGAACTACTACTTCTTTGATGATTTTTGGGATCTGTTGTAGAAACTGAGACAGTAGCGGAATGGCAATTATTGTAACTTGATTGCCATTCGGGCTGATGTGGTAAATTAGCTTCAGTTAATTCTGCAAATTCTTTTGTCTGCTTCACCGCTTTCTCAGCAGTAAAAATTTGTTTTTTCCCAACGTGAGCTCCAAAAACTGGAAGTCCAGTTGGCCCATTATCCAACTCGGGGACTGCTGGTATACGTTTCGTTTCCGAAGAACTGACAGCAGGTGTCCCAGATACTGTAACTGAGCAGCTTTTGTTTTTTGTACACAATTCCGCTTTAAAAGCTGTTTGAGTATTTGTCTCTCCCTTAGTTTCCGTCGTTTTAAATGACTTCGATTCTTTTTTTTTAGACGCTAATTTACTATCTTTAGACTTCTTCGAGTTATTCTGCACTACATCTGCAGCAACCTTCGTCTTGACTTCTTTTCCAGGATTATCTTTTTGCAGTCGTTCCTGCCGTTTATTTTGACGCTCCTTGTCTCTCAATTCCTTCTGGATTTTCTGTTCTCGAGCTCTTTCCTAAACAAAACTGAAAGTTTACATTTTATTAACTGAAAGTTTGAAATGATGTAGATTAGGAAATCCATAAGCAAAAAACAGTAAAAGTTACTTCAAAACTTACACGCAGTTTTATACAGGAGCCTATACTGACAAACGATTACAATATAAAATTAAAATTGTTTTAAATTACGCTTTTAGAAAAAAGGAAACTTCTTAAAATAGACGAAAAAATTGCTGCCATAAAACCTCGGCCGCTTTTCTTCGCTGCTCTTCAGCTTTTAAGGCTTTTTCCCTGTTAGCGGCTTCTTGAGCGGCCTGTTGTTCCTTCTTTTTTTCCAAGGCCTCTGCCTGTTTTGCTTTTCTTAATTCTTCCTTTCTTTTTCTTTCTATTTCAAGTCTCTCCTTTTCCTCCTTAAAATGAGCACTATTAAAAAAGAAGTGTGCGTGAGAAACCCCATTAGGAACTGGGAAAAATATATTTTTCATAATAGGTTTGATCAAAACTAGAAATCACCTGCTTGCGTAATTTTTGTCGTGCCCGCTTAGCTGCCTTGTTTGTTGCTGCTCGAGGAACTGCATTATCCTTTTCATTGATATAATTAAGTATTACTTCTATCGGAGCATCAGAGCTAACTGGGACTTTTGCTGGCGGCTTACAGCTACTTGCACTTGAGGCAGATTCTTTTCCTTTCGTGCTGCTATTCTCTTGAGACAATGATGTTCTACTATCCCCTAATTTATCCTAAAACCTACTCAACTGTGACGCTACAATTAAATTACCTCAAAAAGGAACCAAAAATACAACAAGAGAATGAAACAATTAGAATTTTTTAACCACATAAATATAAACCCGACCTCTTGTCCATTGCGGCGTTGTAATTTTTGACGCAACCGTTCACGGATTTGGGGAACCCTTCCAGCTCTAGCTGTTTCTAAAGCAGAGTGTTCAAACATTTCACAATAACAACAATCGCAATGACCATGGCGGCCATCACGTCTTGAGCTGGATGGCGTGCGATCAAACTGTTTCTGAAAAACAATTTTTATGCCAGTCACCTGTGCTTCACTTCCTCTGCTACCTCTCGTTTTTATTATCCAACCTCCCTCTCCTTCCCCTGCTACACAACAGGCATTTCGTCTGGCACATACCGAAAAATACTCAAAATAACAAATTATCAACCAAAATTAGAAATGATGCCTCGCTTTAAAAGAAAATTCAATAATTTAAAAGAATTCAACGAAAAAAACAATTATATTTCTGGAACTTGCATTGATATTTCTGCTGCTAAAAACCATAAAACGGCTTCGGCTCATGAGGCCAAAAGCTTAAAATTAAAATATCTAAAATCTTCACGAACCTTATTTTCGCAAGAATGATGACGCTCCAAATGTTTATGATTTTCGGAGTCACTCCACTCTTCATCAGAATCCTTTAATAATTAAAATCTTTAAAAGCTATTTACTTGACTGAAAACAAAAAAATCAAATTAGCAGTCTAATTTGCTAAATTAATCCGGCAAAATCATTTCAAACTAGCTCACTAATGAGCTCATATATATCAATTTATAAGAAGTCATTATTTCTACCTCTTCTGCGTCTTCACTGTATTCTTCATTTCCACAATCAGAACGGCAACAAAAAAAATCTGCTTTAGAGTCACAACACCGGTGTCTTAACTCCGAACACTGCGTTTCCATGCTCCTTGCGACCGACGCTAGAATTTTACCTTTTTTTAATATAAAAATACGGCAAAACAAAACAGTACTTTCCTTATAATCTTTTAGAAGCCAGAGATAATTCAAATAATTAACTGTTTTGAAGGATAAAACAGATTTCTGCGAAATGGTCAATTTTAACTTTCAGCAGGACACTGAATTTGACGACTTTAAAAGCAACATAGGCCTGTCAATATCAGCTGATAACTCTCTGCAATTCTAGGCCTTTAAGCTAACAATAATGACGCAGTAAGGGATTCTGGCCTTCAATATTTCAAGCACTGCTACTGATACTTTAAGGAAGAACGTAATACTGAAATGCTGTAAGTCACAAACCCATTTTGTCAAGCTTCGCTCCAGCAGCCTGTGCAATTAATTTTTCCAAATGACTCTTTTCCTTCTCATCCATATTATCTCTATGCAAATCAACCGAGGCTGAAAGTAGACTAGCCACACTCCTTCCGTGAAAAGGACCGCCAACTTTCTTCCCCGAAGTGGAACAACTACTAACCGACATTTTCACCTGATGAACAACCGATAAAATATGAAAATAAGATATTTCGAATATTGAAAACTAACTGAGCACTTTTTAAAGTATTTTTCAACAGATAAACATGTCGAGATCAATAAAAATGAGTCCCTGGTAAACCCAAAAGAAATCTCACCGCAAAAAATACAGAAAAAACTAGAAAAGAACAAAAAAATTGAAAATCAAGAATAAATAATGAATTTAGAGATTTCCGAAATGCAAAGACAGCAAGCATCCAGAAAAAATATACCTTCTTTTCCATTAATGGTACAATTTTGGGCGTTGCGAAATCAGTCTTTGTTCCAAGCACTTGTTTTCCGTTGAATGGGGACTTCGCTGAAATTTTTTAAATCTGGTGAAATTTTCACGCATAGCTGCGTTTTCTGACATGACTGATCAATTTATCTAGCATCCAATCTTCACTATAGACAATTAACTCCCGATAATTCGGTGTTAACTTACAAAAACTCTTACACTGTGCGCCATTCTCCACCGCAGTTTTTTTGTTTGGTGAAACTTTCATGTGAGGAACAGAAGCAGACCCAGAGCTGAAAGTCAAGGTGAGTCAAAAACCGTAAAGTAGAGTCATTTGAGTTTTAAAATATTTTTTAAAAAAAAAATAATTATATAAAGAAGAGCAGAAACCACAAGACTTTACATCTTCGGATGCTGGGTAGCCCACACAACTGCACGAAGATTTGCTCGCTCATTTTCGTTATCTGAAGCTTTTGAAAAGAAATCCTTCACAGCATCCATAATACGCAACTGTAATGATATACCTGATTGACAGTTCGTCCAATGAACTTGTAGGACTCGAAAAAATTACAGCGAAAAAAGAAATTTTACAAGACAAGATATAATTAGAACCACTCAAAACTCTAAGTTATGCTCAGAGGCAAAGCAGTACTGTTTACAAGAGACAATTTATTTATACACTGGTTTAAAGAATAATTTTTAAAAACTGTCTTGACCTTTTTGTTCTCCTCCTGATGATTAGACGTTTTTTCGCATGCGTCTAAACAAAGAATCTATCAGATCCTCAGCAACAATCAAGGATTCAAACAACGTACTATTTCACAAATGATTTTTCTGCATTCAAATACCAAAACGCTAAGTCAGATAGTTTGTCCATGCCAAAAATTATACATCCTTTGTAATCAAAACAATTAGATAAAAACCATACTTTTTTTCACACTGTTCCCATTAGAAGTTTCAGTTGCCTGCTTCGTGGGAGTTGATGAACTCTGAGCGCTAAGTTTCTCAGGATCACTAGTAACTCTGTCATCTAAACGTGTTCCATTTACTTCCAGCCAGTTTACTAAAAAAAAGATATGCGAATAACTATAATGAAAAAGTGACTACGAACTGCTTCATTTAAAAATTTTTTTGTAAGAAAATACAGCAAAAATGACTAGAAAAAGCCTTTTCAATAAAAATTTTCTCTCTACAAAAATCAAAAGTCACAGACAAATCAAGATCTAAATAAGAAATGGTAATCCGTAGATCGTTCAAAAGCAAAAAAATGCACAAACGCTTTTCAAAGTCAGCTGCAGACAAAACTGTGAAATTTCCTGACGCCACTTCTTCGAGAAAGCCTTGGTCAGTTTCTAATGATTTGCTTTGCCTGCCTTTGGCCAACAAAAACCGACTAGGGTCAGCAAGCAACTTGTCTCGTAAGTTTCCCCAACTTTAAATAAAATGTAAAATACAAAATGAATACACTTTCTAAATCAAATTAATACTATTTAACATGTTTTCCTTCAAAAAACCAAACTATTACCTTACACGATCTACAAGTTGTCCATCGAGGTGGGCTTGGGTGCAGTCTCCATCCGAACAACTTGAATTTTCAGAAGCTGAGCTACTTTCACAGAAGTCAATTTTTTGACCAAATGACGCTTCCTTTTTAGGAGCACGTGCCTCGTTTAAAATCAATTCACTACTTTCCTACAATCTTTTTGAAAAATTACAGATACACTCATAAAGATCATACTTCTTGATAGGATTCTTCTTCAAAAGCACAAAAACGACGTTTGCCAAGAACCTTTAAGAAATTTTCAAGTAAAAAACAAGTGCCTCCTAAAATTTCATATATATATATATATATATATATATATA